TCAGTTGACATCTAATAGAAACAAACTGTTTCAGTAAAAATGGTGGAAACTAGCGGCGGTAAACTAGTGTGAGCTAGTGCGTCGGTGTTTCCAAAGGAACAGTTGTATAAAAAGATGAATTTAACACCATAAAAAACAGGTGAAACAACTTACTGACGATTCAGAAGTTACTCCATCTTCTATCTTTACTCCGACGAAGGATTAACGTCCAAAACGTCAATAAGTTGACCTACCTACTTTTTTACGGTGTTAAATTTATCTTTTTATACATAACCGTTTCAGTAAAAACATTGTGTTTTAATAAATACCGAGAAAAAGTTACTGACAAGTTGACTTAACAGCTGCTTTGAATCAAAACAACTTGGAACGCTAGACCAACAATACTGATTAAGCAGCAAGTTGAGAAACATTTTTGATTGACAGAGAAGGCGAGCTTCGAAAAAGCTTCATTGAAAAAGCTTGGCATCATGGTGTTCAGAAGACAGACCGATGTTATGTGATGCCCTCTGGCCAAGTGCTACTGTCTAAATGATGTGTCTAAAAAAAAGTTATTTTAACAAAATGAATTAGTAATACAATTCATGTGATAATTTAAAATTGCCTGAAAATGTCCTAAAATTTGCTTTAAAGTTGGTTAAAAATTTCCTGTAATTTAATGAATAACTGTTTAAAATATTTTATAATGTCCTGACTTTACGCCTTTTTCGAGCAGCAATATCGCGTTTAATGGGTTGAAAAATAGTATTTGATAGTCARCAATAGTTTGTTAACTATACTAGGACCTCGTGGGGCACATTTCGAGAAGACGGCTATTCTATTATAAAGCGCTAGCAACATTTCAGCAAGGTYGGAGGAGGTTGATAAACGAAACCGGTATTGACGCAAAAGGACACTATAAATTGTAAAAACAAAACAAAATTAGAACAGCTATCAGCAATAAAAATAACTCTATAACTCCGTGAAGAAATTGACAACGGCTTTAGTGGCTATGTTTTMGAGCAAACGCAGGAAAACCATGAAATAAAATCAAACTAAATACTAACAAATAGTGGCTATTTAGAGACATTTCGTCAGTATCAATAAAAGGGCACAATGAAGATGAATCCACATGGGACCATTTTTAATTCATTTTCATTCTGGCTCATTGATACTGACAAATTTTCTTTAAATAGCCGGGTATTTGTTAGTATTTCATAGTTTGATTTTATTTCATGGTTTCCCTGCGTTTGCTCTATAATTCGAACAACTATTTATAAGCCTTCTTTKAAAGTATGTTATAAGTGAAAATAGCTTTTATTCGAGAGAGAGAGAGGTGGAAATTGTGCGATGTATAATATTGCTGAATGAAGATTATACGATGGAATGGAACTGTACAACTGCAATTTGAATGTATCATTATTGCGAGATATCTCTTGTCTAAACAACAATCGCTTAGCCACTTCAATTACCGTTATAAATATATACGAGCTTTATGGATCAGTCACAATCTTTATTCCACGATTATTACAATAMCAATAATTAAATATGCTAACGAATAATTTTTGCTTGATGAAAACTAAGAAAATTTAGCGTAAAGACCTTAGACCATATGAAAAAGGGTGTGGCTAGCGTAACGCCTTAGTTTAATBAGATGAGTTTTAATATTTTATTGTAAGCAGTTCAAAGTCAGCATATTAAAGTGAATAAGATATGAAAATTTCAGTGCTCTAATTATCTAAGGATAAGAAATAAGTATATTAGAAATTACAAAAGTTTGAATGAGAATCAGTATTGAGACCTTACCAGCCTTGTTTTCATTTTTTGGGATATTTCGCATCTCTGCTCTGATATTAAACATTTGAGACTAGCACCACCAATTTACTTATCTCGGATATGCTCTTTCTTATGGTGGAAACAGATTTTTAAAAACATCGACCATTTAATGTGCTCATTCCCGGTCTCCTGCTCGTTTTCATATCAGTGGCTATATATGAGTCAAATGAGTTAAAGTGCCGACTGTGTCAGGTTAAGTTGACAATGCAGTTCACAACTGCCCATACTGGACACTTGAAGGTCTCAACACAAAACTCTCATATTTGTATAAGTTCCAATGTAAAATAACTAGGTTAAACACATAAATTTCGTTTATCTATAATTATCTATTGCTACGCTCACTCGATCGTGAGAGATCTTTTCAACCACTCGAAGATAAAATCCGTATCTCCGCGCGTCCATGTAATAACCTCTATTTATGATATTATCATTTACATTTATTGTTATAAGCAGTTTCAGTTTTTTATTTAAGAAATATAAAACGGCGCGCGTCTCTGTCCTCTGATATAAACACGGTGGGAGTTCGAAAAACACGAGAGAAGCAAGCTTAGGAACACGAGCGTAGCGAGTGTTTCTCTTGCTTCTCGAGTGTTTTTCAACTCCCACCGTGTTTATATCAGAGGACAGAGACACAAGCGGCCGTTTTAGTATTTCTTTTATAAAATTTTTCGACCGAAAAGAAAAGTCTGCCGGTAAGCCGTGTCTCTGTCCTCTGATATAAACACGGTCGTCAGCCAATCAGAGCGCGCGTTATATATCAAAAATTTTATAATAATATGCTATACTTGGATAAAGAAACCTTTCCTTTGACTGTTCTTAATTGTCGATCTTTGTAACTACATGAMTTTTCTGATTGCTTTAAGAGATTTGTGTTCAAATTGTACGTTTTGATGTTGTAGATGTTCAGTTAGAGTGCAAGTCACATAAGCATGAAACAATTCTTAACTATGTAGTGCTAAATAAGATTTAGTTATCAACTAACTAAGAATTGAGAACAATGCTACAAAGGAATTTGGCATTGTGTTTATGCTTTGTTGAATTCTTAGTTAGTTGATAACTAAATCTTATTTAGCAATACATATTAAGAATTGTTTCATGCTTATGTGACGTGCACTCTATCTTTAGTTCTTTACACTTTATTTTTTTCCTTTTTTGGGAAGCAAGGATGCTAGAGCGGTAAATACGCCAGTCTGTATATCACCGCTGTGGTCCTGGTTCGATTCCCGGTCCGGTACTATATGTGATTTGAGTTTGTAGGCTGGTTTCTCTTCTTTGCTCCAGGAGGTTTTCTCCAGGTATGCTGTTTCTTCCCTCAGTTAAATACTAGTTGTGAGAGGATCGTATGCTAAAAACAGTCAATGTTGAGATAGAGTGTATGGGTCTCCCCAATCAATAGGACACTCTTTTGACTGGCTACGGAAATTTAAAACGTTAATAAAGTTATTTTGTTATCATTAATTACTACTGGAGCTACTTTGAATCGGTCAGTATTACCCGCATGTCACTACTTGCCAGAACTTGAGTGCTGTTTTCATGACGATTCTCCGACAGGCAACACGAAAGCGACGAATACGGAGTGTATACACCACAATATTCATTGACGACTTGGAAATGATTATTGTATAAAACCAAACAAACTTCCTCTGCACTCTAAGTCCACACCAATTAAATTGCTTCTCAATTAGAAATTGCATAACACCAGGACTCCAGCAAGCAAAGAAAAGCAAGGTTATAATTGCTATTGTTGCGGACATTCGATTTTCCATAATCCTATTCTGTACAACAACAAGTGAATCGCGCGGACGTAGGGCGACGCTGTTAGACTTAATCTTGTAAAGCCATGTACCATATGAGCCAAGCATAATAGCAAAGCATACAAGAGGAATTGCTACTCTGGCAATCGAAGCTGCATGGAAAAGATGAGTGGGGAAAATGCGCCGAGCTACGTTGGCCAAACAACAGAGTGAAGCAGCACCTCCCCAGCAAACGCCTAGCATAACTTTGCAGCGCCTCTTTTTGATAAAGCGATATTGACAGGGCTTTACGGTGCAAATTACTCGATCAATACTGATTAAGGCGAGATGGATCATAGAGGTGAGGGTCGACAGGATTCCAGTAATTTGCAAGACAGTTACAACTACATTATGAGGGCCACATCGAAAAAAATATAAGTTTACGACCAAGAGAGGCTGAGAAATCATAGTCACCTTTATATCTGCTACCGCTAAACTCAGAAGAAAGAAAGTCGACACTCTACGTCGAAGCTCACGAGTAGTTAGGAAAGCAAAGATGGCAAGAATGTTACCTAGTGTTCCTGTAACAGCAAGAATCACGTTGATCGATGTTAGAATTATCCTCTCTAGGCCTGATAAGTGAAATTCGTTGTTTTCAACGCCGTACTTGAAAATACTAACAAAACTTGAAAGGTTACCAATATGAGAAGAGTTCACTGTTGAATCCATGTTAGACTGAAAGTTTTTCATTGAGTCCAAAGTGCTTCGTGTGATTTATAATTAACGGCCACGCATCCCTGTCTTCTTACCTAAACACGGTTAGAGATGGCAAGCACAAGAGAAGCAATGGTTTTTTTATGGCTTGTATGAAAAAATTCAGTTATTTCAAGCTTTTCACAGGTTATTTAGTTTATGTGTTGCAACTAGTAAAGGTNGTCCTCTGATATAAACACGGTCGTCAGCCAATCAGAGCGCGCGTTATATATCAAAAATTTTATAATAATATGCTATACTTGGATAAAGAAACCTTTCCTTTGACTGTTCTTAATTGTCGATCTTTGTAACTACATGAATTTTCTGATTGCTTTAAGAGATTTGTGTTCAAATTGTACGTTTTGATGTTGTAGATGTTCAGTTATCTTTAGTTCTTCTTTACACTTTATTTTTTTCCTTTTTTGGGAAGCAAGGATGCTAGAGCGGTAAATACACCAGTCTATATATTACCGCTGTGGTCCTGGTTCGATTCCCGGTCCGGGACTATATGTGATTTGAGTTTGTAAGCTGGTTTCTCTTCTTTGCTTCGAGAGTTTTCTCCAGGTATGCTGTTTCTTCCCTCAGCCAAATACCAGTTATGAGGGTGTTGTACGCTAAAAACAGTCAATGTTGAAATAGAGTGTATGGGTCTCCCCAATCAGTAGGACACTCTTTTGTCTGGCTACAGCAATTTAAAAAGTTATTTTTTTATCATTAATTACTACTGGAGCTGCTTTGAATCGGTCAGTATTACCCGCATGTCACTACTTGCCAGAACTTGAGTGCTGCTGTCATGACGATTCTCCGACAGGCAACACGAAAGCGACGAATACGGAGTGTATACACCACAATATTCATTGACGACTTGGAGATGATTATTGTATAAAACCAAACAAACTTCCTCTGCACTCTAAGTCCACACCAATTATATCGCTTATCAATTAGAAATTGCAGAACACCAGGACTCCAGCAAGCAAAGAAAAGCAAGGTTATAATTGCTATTGTTGCGGACATTCGATTTTCCATAATCCTGTTCTGTACAACAACAAGTGAATCCCGCGGACGTAGGGCGACGCTGTTAGACTTAATCTTGTAAAGCACTGTACCATATGAGCCAAGCATAATAGCAAAGCATACAAGAGGAATTGCTACTTTGGCAATCGAAGCTGCATGGAAAGGATGGGTGGGGAAAATGCGCCGAGCTACGTTGGTCAAACAACAGAGAGCAGCAGCACCTCCCCAACAAACGCCTAACATAACTTTGCAGCGCCTCTTTTTGATAAAGCGATATTGACAGGGCTTTACGGTGCAAATTACTCGATCAATACTGATTAAGGCGAGATGGAGCACAGAGGTGAGGGTCGATAGGTTTCCAGTAATTTGCAAGACAGTTAAAACTACATTATGAGGGCCACATCGAAAAAAATATAAGTTTACGACCAAGAGAGGCTGAGAAATCATAGTCACCTTTACATCTGCTACCGCTAAACTCAGAAGAAAGAAAGTCGACACTCTACGTCGAAGCTCACGAGTAGTTAGGAAACCAAAGATGGCAAGAATGTTACCTAGTGTTCCTGTAACAGAAAGAGTCACGTTGATCGATGTTAGTATTATCCTCTCTAGGCCTGATAAGTGAAATTCGTTGTTTTCAACGCCGTACTTGAAAATACTAACAGAAGTTGAAAGGTTCCCAACATGAGAAGAGTTCACTGTTGAATCCATGTTAGACTGAACGTTTTTCATTGATTCCAAAGTGCTGCGTGTAATTTATAACGGCTGCGCATCCCTGCCTTCCTATTACCTAAACACGGTCAGAGAGGGCAAGCGCAAGAGAAGCAATAATGGTTTTATGGCTTGTATGAAAAAATTCAGTTATTTCAAGCTTTTCACAGGTTATTTAGTTTATGTGTTGCACCTAGTAAAGGTTTGTAGTATCTTTCTGTCTTGGAGAGATCTCCTCCGTTTTATCTGACCAATTGACGCTAATTGAAATGTCCTGGAGAGAAACGAATGCATTGCCTATACAGAACAAACTTTTAAAAACAACTTATTTATAGCTTATTTTTGATGATAGACAAATTCAATTGAGACCCTTCTCAGCAGGCCATCATCTAACTAAGCGCCAATTATCTAGAGCCAGTAATATTACTAGAAACAAAATAACAGCTGTAACATTTTAACGATTGAAAAATACATCACCATAGACCTTTTCTCAAATACAAAATCATGGTGCATTGCGGTCTAGCTTCAGTACAAACAACACCATATTTGGCAATAAAAGATGTTTGTTCCGAATCTAGACAACAATGCAATGCAATGACTGATATCTCATCAAAGTCGTATGGCCTTATTAATCACTAGGAGTATTGCGTCATAGTGACGTATTGAATTAATATCATGACGTCATTCAGTTAATTTGCCATGTGTTTATTCAAATGATTGACATACCCGTCTCAAAATATCGAGAAATTTTAATTTCTTATATAAAAGTCACAGAAAAATTTTAATTTCTTAAAAGTCACAGAACTAACTGAATCAATTCATAGTTTGCCAAATTAATTGGTCAAGATAATTTCGCGGTTATCCCCAAAACTAGAAAATATTGAAATATGTTTCTCTCGCTGTTTACTGATGACACGATTCCTGACGAGCAATCAACCGTCGTGCCGAAAAGTTGTTTCGAAAAGTTATTCCGAATTCGGAATCGAGGACTCGTTTCATCGATGGAGCCTTCGTAGCACTAGAAGCAGGCAATTCTAGTATAGTTCGGGACTACTTGGGAGGTCTCCGACATATTTATCACTGATGGAAAACAAATTTCACAAAATTTACGGCGGGGCAAAAGAATTGCTTGATACACTTCTTTAGTATTTTATCGTTCTAGAAGGGGATAAAATTAAGTGTTTCTGATTGTAGGGAAGTTAGCTATGTGTTGACAGAATCTTGTAATTTTGAATTTTATATCATTTCCCAGTCATTTATTTATTTCTCTATTTTTTGAGTAGCAACGCGTCAAGTGCGCATGCTCGTCGATCCCTCGTCAGCCATGCTGTATTGACGTTGACGGTTTAACAAACGCTACTCCGTGTATCGTAAGAATCTAACGACCCAACGGCCAGCGCGCAAGGGAAGCGGATTGGATCAGATCTTGTCCCGGCTTGAGCTTTAGAATAACGCAATGGATAAAAACAACTCAATATATATATCACACCGCACCGTAGCTTTGATTATTTGACTACAGCACATGGCATAGCCCTAGATAGAATAGCTCACAGCAAATACAGCCAGCATAAAAGCAACCGCGTATAGAATGCTGCATTACATTAAATCGGCACAATAACAGCAACCTCTGCAACAGAAAGCGGAAGGCTATAGACATACCCTCCAAAAAAGTAGCATGACATTTTAATGTAATGCAGCACACTATATTTTAACGTTTTCTCTACAACAAGAAAGTCAAAGTCCCTCAGTATTTGTTTCGTGATGATTCGGCAGTGATCAACTTACATTAATCAATACCTTTGCATACATTGTAAATACAGTATTTTATTATTACTTCAGAATATAATGCTGAACTGATAACTAATTGAATTACTGAGCATGCTCCAGTTTTACTTGGTACAGACTGCGCATGTCAGTTCTCGTCCTTCGACGTAAGGAAGACAAGGCAGAGAGCCACACCTCCCTTCGACGGCATACAACAAAGCCTGATCGTGATCGCGTCCTGAACCTTTGACGACCTCTGGGTCACGATCAACGCAAATGAAACCTTTCTGATTTTTATGATAGCAATGCTCTGCCATGAGATATCCCCAGTACTCCCTGGACCATCCCGCGGGACACTCGTATGTTGCCGGGATCATCAGTTTGACGTTACGGTTTGGAACAAAGCATACAGCACAAGGAGCGTCGTGGTTATAGGGGTCGGTTAAAAATGGATTGTAGCTTTGTTTAGTTTGATACTCAGCACCGTACATGTACGCTGACCATTTTTGATGAGCATCGTTGTAGCTCGCGTACTTGGGGGATTCTGTCAGGCATACATAGTTGGAACCCCCACCGGGATGGTTGTAATGCTCGCCTCCAACGTAACCTAAAACCACGGCGAAAGGTTTAAATATTTAAGTAATATATTTTAAAAAAACAAACAACAACATATGAATTAATAAGTATAAAATAAAGCTCTCTTTCCTGTTACCTTTGTAGACGAGTTTAGCACCAGAAGGACACGAGTTCTTCCCCCAGCGTATGTACTGAACACCACCACTTTTAGGGCCAGGGAGACCCCTTAGTCCCTGAGCACCACGTGGACCTTGCGAACCAGGACTTCCTAAACATACCAAAAGTTTAATAATATATTATCAACGTTTATTGACATGTGTCGAATTGCGAGAATATACCTCGTGGTCCTGGGGCGCCATGTTGGCCATCACGACCATCTCGTCCTGGGAGTATGTGGAAAGAAAGTCAAATATGCCAGGATAGAAACAGAAAAGAACAATGAGTATATTTCACAGATATTTAAGGCAATAGCTATTATTGTTATAATTATGCACTAGTCAATTGGCTAACTGGACGGAGAAAAACATGTGTAATGTTGAGTTTCTTTTAAAAAAGTTTCATGCAGGATATTGCCGAACTCTAGTTTCCAGCCTCATACATGTTCAAACTCGCGATAAAATCCCCGCCCTTTGCCCCGCTTCGAAAACAGTTCATCAAAATCCCGACCCTCCGGGGCAATCTTGCTGTTAAAACCACGTTAAAAACGCATCACGTCCCCGTTCAGTGCCCCGCTAGCCCCGGGGGTCRGGGGGCGGGAGTTTCAATTGACTAGTGCATTAATACTGCCATCATTATAATAAAGATCTATCATTATGCTCACAACTAAACAAATTTATGTTCCACTGCATTTGAAAGATAAACATAAAATAAAATAAAATAAAAATTGCAATATAACTGTTGTATCTGTAGGGCATGGAAAGAACTAGCAAGTGTGTARGCACATGCGTTGCAATCCAAAATCAGTCGCAGGCTGATCAGTCGTAATGATCAAGAATTGTTTGGAATTCTCACATGTCCACATGCATAATTACTGCTTTTTTACTACGGTTTGTTACTAGTTTCTGCTAGTTTTATTCACGTTCTTTTCTTTAAAAATCCTAACGCGCGCATCTTGGAAACTTCATTCTTCATGGCATAAGTGTAGTTTTAGCCTTTTTCATGGCGGAATCAGCGGTCTTACGATCATAAATGACTAACGTAATATAGTGATTCACGCTTTCTGATGTTCATATAGCTCGCACTTCGAGCTGTAACTGATTTAGAATCGGGAGGAACCTCTACTAAACTTTTTATCCATATTAACGTGGTTTCTCCGCTTATGGTTTTTATCATCAATTCAAAAACCTTCYAAAACGTGGATATCAGATAATGATACCTTGCTGCCCTGGTAGTCCTCGTTGACCATCGCGTCCGTCTTTGCCTAAGATAACAATCTTATCAGTGAAAAATAGAGMCCTATTAATTTATCAGTGATGGTGGAACTGTCAAAACAAAAAACTTTGCACTTCTTGAGAACTATAGAATATATTGTTTTGTTCCCCAGTTGTAGCTGCACTGATATGATCTGCAAGGAGTGTTAAAGGGATCAGTCCACCAAAGCAATTTTCGGGGGGAGGGAAAGCACATGCAAATAGTGGTGCAAAATATGACAGGGAAAAAAAACACTTTTCTGACGGTGGCTTACTAGATAGGTTAACGTCATTAGCGGATAATTGACCTCTGCAGCTTTTACGTCATGTACYGTATACGCAATGCATTGTAGGACATGTCTGGGACAAAACATGGCGGATTTCTTTTGTTTTCTCTWGAAACTGATCCCACAATGCATTGAAAATCAAGTAGTGACGTAAAAGGTTCAGAAGTCTATTGATCATACCAGTCTGAGTCCCATCCAATAATTCATACCTTAATCAATAGTCCATTTGCATGATGGCGTAAATTTACTACAACTACCAGAGAGCTTTGCGCATTTTCAATGTTATTCAGATTTTTGATCCTCTTGGAGATTAATTTTAAACAATTGGCACTAATTGCATTACAAAAGAAAGTTTGCAAAGCATTCTGGTAGTTGTAGTAAATGACGCCATAATGCAAATCGGCTATTAAGCAACTTTGATCGACTGTTTAATGAATTACTCATTACCTGGTTTACCCGGTGCTCCGTCCTTGCAATAACCTGAAAAGTAAAAAAAAACGCCAGTAAATTGTTCCACCTGCTTTTCTACGCGGTGTTAATAGAAATCTATCTTTGTGCACAATGCTTCTTAGCCCGTTAAAAGATATTCTTATATAAATGGTGCTTAACTTGAAATCGGATTGAGTCTAGGTTCTTAAATGCGGTTCATGATTTTTGGCAAGAAAAAGACTTAGTATACCTGTATTTGTAGTTGTGGGATTTTATATCGAAGAATTCACAAATTTTCATGCAAGGATGGRATATAATAGTACAAACAAAGGACAAGTACTTTAACATACAGAGTGCTATATGTTTCATTGTCAAAATAAAATAAAACAGACTGACTTTGTATTATTTGGAAATTTAGAACCTAGGCTAAAACGAACATTCTTAAATTTTAGGTTCTTATACATGGGTTTTACTGTATATGATTATGTAGCAAAAACCAACAACGAAATGATTAGTGTTATAGTTTTTGAGCGTAGCTTACCTCGCCGSGATTCCACAATCTTCACCCTGAAAAATAAACCGGTATTTGAAAAAAATTTATTTGCTCATTTGGATTAAAAAAAACGAAAAGGAAAACAGAAAAATAACTTATTATTTAAAAAAGCAGCAAAAGCCAATTTGATTTCCGTCAAACGTTCTTGGTTTTCTTGCGTTGGATTTATACTAAGAAAAGACTCGTTAAAAAGGGCGACATAAAGCAAGCTGAATATTTCTTCATTGATATCAGTTTTTTTTGTTTGTTTGTTTGTTTGTTTTCAAGAAAGACTGAATCAAAAATGAGTAAACTGAAATTCATTTTTGATAGCTTATATTAAGAAATATAATATATAAAATAAGATTAACTAATTAAATAAATTGTATCAAACATCATCGATAAGTTATCCAATTAATAATCATCAATTAATTATAATTAATATAAAAATTAGGTAACACCTAATGGCGGAGCTCCAATAGCAATATAGAAGCTGAAAATGATTATCTAATACTGCTATTTCAAAGGTAGATGCTCTATTCTAGGGAATGTGAGCTACAACAGTTTTGTTGACATGCGAACAAATATTATAAAGAGTATGTTTATGAGAATTCAGTTCGTACTAATATTGACTTCGGTAGATTTTGTTCCGTTGGATGAAGCCTAATATTATAATCTATAAAGGTCAATTGATTAAAAGTAAACTGAAAGCTTCTCGGCAAAAAGTAGTCCACATAAGCTTACAATAATCAACATTGTTTCAATAATCGATGTTTGAACCGGGACTACTCGAAATTCACATATCACAGAAAACTGTATACAAAAATATATTTTTTACCTTCATTATCGAACTTCCGATCAATTAATATCGTTCAAAGGTCATCTTCAACAGAGCCATACTTGTTTCAAGCATAGGTTTCATCAATTTATCAAGTCATTCAAGACAGTAGATTCTTTGTTTTTAATGATAATCTCTCTCAATCTAACTGCTAGCATGGTCTTGGTTTCGAAATGTCCACACTTTTAGTCGACAAAAGAACTTCGCATAGATCCCTGCTTTTTCCCATATTGGTCMATATTATTGAAGTATTTCCAATAAAGTATCATCTCTTTCTTGTTGTCGAAATATCAAAGTAAAATCCTTCTTTCTAATATCACTTTTAAGATGGGCCTAAAGTGCTTTTCATCTTCGCAAATCGATTTCCCGGATGTGCGGACGCGTCGAAGTTATGACAAAATTGGCGGGAATATTTCTGTGCTGTTATTTCGCTCTTCAGTGGATTTTTTCCTTGTGATTAATTGTTCTAATATTATCAATATGTAATATAAATGTTTAAGGAAAAAATTTCGATTTTTCAACAAATACTTGGCGCTTTATTTTCTTTTCGAACGGAGTATGGGTTTCCTGTGGTGGTACAGGGACGGAAGGACGGACGGAAGGAAACGTGCGTACGCGCGGGAACCCTGTGTCGGTCCATGGAAAATCGACTCGATGGTATACCATTTTTTCTTAGCTATGGYGCTCCGCTCGCGCGGGCCTTCGGCCCGCGCGGGAGCTCCGCTATTAATTATATATCTGACCTTTCCGTCAATAATTTCAAGGCATCGCTGAGCGCCTTTAAGTCTTGGTTTGTCTTGTTTAAGGTCCCTCGTTTTACCACACCGTTGTGCTCCTCATCTCTGCCGTCAACAACCAAAAACATGGCGAGTATCACCATGATAAAGACGGCTTTGAACAACATTTTATCACAGAAAACTACGTTAACAGATAACGACTGCATAGAAATTGCCGGCAAACGTTGTGTTATTAGAATGAGTTGCGAGTGTTTATTTAAGTGATGCCGACGGGTTCGAGACAAGAAAATTCGTGAATGAAAGTGTTCACATGGCTGTTATGCAAACATAAACAATAATAGAACAATACAAAAAGATTGACATTTACCAACTACTGTTTAATTTYCAATTAAAAACTATTTTATATTAAACTCCGCAAACATTTTTCGCACTAGCGCAGTCGGAAGAGAAGAAGACGGCGAGACGTGATGCGCATAATTTTCGTGAGTGACTACATCAAAAACAAGCGAGCAAGGAAGCAGAAGGGTTTCTTTTCTTTTCTCTTCTACCTCTTACTGTTGTTCAGTTCTTGTCGTGTGAAAATCGATCGAACGCAAGCGGAGAAGAAGGAACGAAAAAGCTACTAATTAAAAGTCGTCTCAACTATGCTGTTTTTTCTTTTCTGCTCGGCTTATATAGTCTCTTCGTTGATTTTCACACGAAAGTGGGCGCTTTACGTCTCCTTCTCTCTGTCCGAAGTGCCGCGTCGCGCAGGTAAAAATCTGCATGTATTACAGATTGGACCGAATGATTAATTATATTCCTATAGTTTTAAAACAAGTTCAAACATTAAGATCAACTCACTCTGAAAAGCTTGATTTTTAGAACAATTAATGAAATCATTAATTTCAACACAGGCAGACTATTAAAATACTTTAGTATATGATTAAATCACTGACAACAATGGCTTTTATAATTCAAATACACAGGCCAYTAATTTAATAAGAAATATTACTTTCATTTTTAAAATAACAACTACAATATTCGCTCGTAATATATCGCTCGTAAAGTAATCGGCCAAGTTTGGGGATCAAGCCGGTATCGTCCCAAAATGAACACGTAGGACATGGACCACGTGGTTCAACATTTTTAAATTAAAATTAAAATTGTAACTCTGGTTTTGATCATTTAGTTATGTAAAACGTGATCGCAATCAACTTTACAATTTATAAACAAATCTTTATAACGGATATAGGACCAGTAATGAAAATTCTATGAAAGATAGGTTATCAAAAACAAATTTATAGCACCCAAAACACAACAACAATGGTCCTAACAAGCTTTTTGCACCTACTAATTTACAATATAAACTCTCAGTTTAATTAAAAACCATAGAAAAAATGACTTTAGTTAAGTTTTGATTACAAATATATGAAACAGTTTCCTCAAACAAAACTTCGTTGGAAACTGAGATAAATCCCTTCAAAATAGTCACTTGTCTACGTCATTTMGCCTTAATTTTTCACTGTAATGAAGCCTGAACTTTTGTTTAGATATTTGTTGCTAAGCTCCGGTATATAATGACGGTAAATACAAAGAAAAAATACAATAGAAYTATGAGTGATTATTAAAAAACAGCAATATTTGCATATTTATTGTTGTGTGTGATTTAAGCTTCAATGCATGCTTGCTTTTTTATGATTACTTAAGTCACGTTCTTGTATATTTGATGGTAGTAAGCTTGTTGCACGAAGAMCAACGTTGGAATACTACAAGTGCCTTCAAAAAATTAGCAACGCTTGTGTTTATCGAGTTTCTTACGAAATTAAGACAACTATTTGAAGCCTAAGCTGAAAGTCTTGAGCTCAACGTAATACCCACCAGTTAAAAGCGGAAAAAGATCGCAACGTAACGATTTCCATCAAGAAAACATCAACATGGACGCAATCAAGATGAATGCCCTGAAGGAAGGCAAAGCAAGTGTTMGAGTAAAAGACGCCTTGTTGCGCAACCACATTGCGGAGAACAACATGAAGACTTCACTTAAAACAATACCAACAGGGCTCAACAAGAAAGAGATGGATTCACTGAAATACAAGCAAGCTTTCTACCAACAGAGAAAGAAACAGCTTGAAGCATCAGGCAGCCCACCTCAAAAACCAAGATCAAAAACTGCTTTACATAGACCCACAGTTGGTGGGTTGGAATCTCGAAGAACTATCTCAGACCAGACCAGCTTTCAGAGCATAACAGAGCTAAATTCTCGACCAAGAGCTCTCTCTTCGTTAACAAAMTCSCCAAGCATTGAGATCTCTGATTTTGACGAAAATRGAGACTCAAAAATCTACACAAAACTGCCGTCTCTACCGACYTCAGGAAATAGTCAGCTCAACACAGGAATACCGCTCCGAGGCCGGGCTAARTCAGCGAGTGATATTTCAAAGGACGTCGCTGTCTTTCTCGACAAAACGTCTCCAGAGAGGAGGAGGCTTTCTTCATCAGATCTCACTGTAGATGAGTATTTAGCAAAGCGACGGCGTTCCTCGGCYTCTGTCAACTTGCTAGCCTCGCCSATGAATACRAGTGCGGCGAGATCCGCGCCTACGTCACCTGTGCTAGCGAGAAAATYGCTTGCCGACAGTCAAAACCAGAGGAGCTTAGGGCGGAAAGGTAACGCTAAGAAGAAACAARTACCTAGTWATGATACCCAAACGGACCAGGTAGAGACTTTGGCTGACAGTTTGAACAAGATCAAGTTTTGTCGGTATTTACGAGATGCAGACGACGAGGAAATGTTAAATAGCGAGGAAAAGTTACCCGACGAGTTGAAGCCAAAAGAAATTGTCTTGGGCCATACAAAGGTTGTCTTTTAGGGCATATTTTCCAAAGTAAATTGTTACTTTTTGATTACTATTTTTGTTATTGTCATTACTTGGTAAGCTTCTTGGTATGCAATCATATGGTCATGTGACCCAAACTGATTCCATTAGTACAATCGTCGTGTTGGATTTGGACACGTTGCCAAGARTGACTCGTAAGGCTCGTAGTGTTCCTGTTCTTGTAAACCAATGCCATTCATCGATACGACTGGCTTTAAGATTCTACCGGGATCCTCTAAGTACACTTTATCGATCATATTTATGGAACTAACCTCCTCCGCAGGCATCACAAATCACGGGCTTCCTGTCTTTTTGGGGAGTCGAAAGAGGGAGAATGGGGGCGAGAGAGGGTCGTCACTAGTCCTTGCGGCCAAGATGACCGTTACAAAGGAAGTCCAAAGGAGGAAAAAAGAGTTGTCTAGGGAGGAGGCGTAGTATGGAACCATGTTAGAATTCAATAGACCTCTGGAGCTTTTACATCATGTACCGTATACGCAATGCATTGTAGGTATGTTCGTGACAGAACATGGCGGATTTTTTTGTAGTTTTTTTTTTCTAGGAGCTGAACCCACAATGCATTGAGTCGAGTAAGTCATTATGTCAAGTAGTGACGTAAAAGGCTCAGAGGTCAATTCTAGAATACTAACGCGCGAATGTGAAAATATTTTAAATGTCAAAATGTATTTCGATGTTTTGAAGCAACAATCTAGTAACCAATTTCACTTGAAACTTAAAATCATCAGAGCTGATTTGTACTTTTGGGGACGGCTGTACGAAGAGTGAATGGCGCTATCCACCTCCAGATACTATCGTACTGATCCAGCGGATAACATCCAATACAAAATCTATAGACTGGATAGAATTATACAGCCTTCGTACAACTGGTCCTTGTTTCATGAATATCGCATAATCAAGATGGCGGCCATATTGCCATATTGTAACATATACATGTATGCTAATGAAATTCTATTGTATACATATATTTATTTTATTAGATTTTGTTATCTTACATAAATTCATTCTTTCATAAATGTTTGCATGTCTTCAATCATCATTAGTGTCAATCATTAAACTTCCAATCATTTATCAGAAAAAGGTGAGCTATGACGAAGCCGCTGTGACTCAATAATAGCCGTTCATGGCAATATAAGTTCTTTGTACGCGGTTTAAATTCTTAATTTTAAATGATATCTCATATTAGTATCAATCAAACTATGGACGATTAAAAATCCAGCATTTTAATGGGTTAATGAACTACTGTATATTCATAATTATACAATGGTTGGTTGCATTATATGAAGCGAACATGGTCCAAAAAAACGCCAAGAAAAGTTTTTTTTTATGGTCATTTTTTTTAATTTGCCCTATAGTTTGGTGTCCTTATGGAATATCAATTCGTAGTCAACATGGACCTCAAGGTCAGTTTGATATAATTGAAAGTGAAAAATTGAGCCAATATTATTGCAAATTACTGGATTWGTAATAAATATATTCATATTTACAATGTAACAATGAGAATTTTACCGTCAGCTTGTACATAAACCAATTGTATCAGATAGAACGATCCGTTGTCACAGTATTAAAACATCATGATCCCATCCAGTTACTAAATCCGGCCGTGCACGTGATCGACATACAGRGTACCGATTTCACAAAGTGTTATCTTCCATTAGCACCGATTTTGTACAGCCTACAATAATCATTGGYGTATTGTACCCATGTGACGTCATTAAYACATCGACGTCATCATCGTCRTCATCGTCAACGKTCYTTCCCGGCATTCTTAAGTATCTAGTCTTCTTAATTTCTTCAAACATCTCTGCTAACGTTGATGCGTTACTCGAACCTAAMGACCCATCCAGATGTCCGATTGGCTCRTCGCTGTCACGTGATAGATCTGTAGAATCCCCGGTAGTTAACACGGKCTCGTTTTGTGATTCTTCAAGAAAATTTATTTGATTTYCKTGGCTAGTACCTTCTTTATTGCAGTGTTTTGGAGTGGAYGAATTTTGAGTGATAACTGGCATAGATACATTACTTGACGTTTGCGCTTCTTGGKCTTGTTCATCGTCATCTTCGTTTTGGTGAAAAGCGTTGAAATTGCGGAGATATCGGCATTCCTTGACATTCGCAACGAAGCTTAGGGCGCGCACTGCTGCACGCATGCGYTGAAGACGCGTCTGATCCTGACGTGAAAAGAATAAAAGTGTTAATCAGCATGACGTCAACGTTTCAGCGACGACTCCATTGAACAAAAATAAACATTAATGTTTTTGTTCCTTTCTGCCTGGCTACGATATTCTCTTTAATTACTGTACGTTTTTCATAGTTGTACTGTTTGCACAGTGTAAAAGATGGGTCATTAGTTTTAAAGATATGAATATGAAGAGTTAGTTTTAACACTAACATGAGTTATAAAATTCTTTTGTAATTCCACAAATAATTATACTTACATCATCCATTAATAAATACTCCACTTCAGATCCTAAGTCCAAGAGATCAGGAGTCGAAGAAGACCTCCGAAGTTTCCCATCGTTTGGTTGATTTTCATTTTTGTTGTTTTGGCTCCTTTCTTTTTTTTCCGTTTCGCCAAACGATGAGSCCTTGCGGGGTACCTTTGCCTTTTCATTTCTTGGCCTTGAAGGTGGCTYTGGCTTACTAGCAAAGTTAGGTGGTTCGACATMACTATTWGCGCGCACGCGACGTACGACGTGTTTRTCGTGAATTTCAACGCTTTTGCTGCGTTGTCGCGTCAATGGAGGAAGTACAAGACGAGTGGACGGCTTCGTCTGTCCGGTTTGYAWGTGCAATGGACGTCTCTCTTCAGAGAAMGAATGCTGCCGTTCTAGTGCTTCARGTTGGGTAGAAGGACTTCGATTTGARGCTCGCGCGTTTATACYTGGCATTGCTAGATGTTCARCRCTTCGGGAGCGCCTTTTATCTAACACAGGAGCGCGAAGGTKGCTTAAGTTCTYGTTGTTATTTTKCTGATYTGSTTCATTAACTTCTTCCATATCATTTGCTTTGCTTGTTTTATGCAAAGTTTCAGCACTTTGTGATCTAAAAAACTTGGGTAAGGATGGAACTTGAAGACTTGTCGATGGTATACTTCCATGTTGAGCTTTGATGTCKTCGTTAGAGTCTTTAGCCGACAAGTCTTCACTCCACGAGTGACTTTTTTCTATTCTTTTYCCTGATGCTAAACGGACCAAAMCCTTACKTTCATCGTCATTTTTGTACAATTTAGAGCAATCTAAACTCAATTTATGGAACTTCTTYTTGATAATTTGCTCTCCCTTTTCCACTGAAGATGGTAAKCCTCTTTGAGTGATACTTTCGAGCAAATTTCCAGTTGAGAGAGACGAAAAGTTCTGAAGTTCACCAAACGTCCCAAGACGTCTTTGTCGCAWAAGACTGMCATCATGACTTRAACTTTGCGACTTTCCAAGATGGTTTATGCATAGTCTTTTACGAATGAATTGGTTTTTTCGATGTTCAAATGCCTTTTCTGATGATTTTTTCTTCAAGTCAAGATAGTGTAGCTCTTTCTTCAGTTCTTTGTCAAAGGYTTGGTTTTTGTTGATGGCTTTTCGAATGCTCATGCTGGATGGGTTTATCGTAGATCCTTCATCGCCCATTATTTACCAAGAATGGTGAGTTTAAATCCTTGAAATAAAAGGTAAAAATCATTAGGTAGGTACTATCTAGCTTCGAGGGTCATGCCTGCATGCGTAGCAGGAACAACAAGCATTCAATTCAGTGCATTACAACTTCTGCTCTGGTAAGTAATTAATAAAAGATTTCCACTAAACCAAACTCAATTGCCTAATAAAAATACAATTTAACACTCAACCTAATAGCTGACCTTATTTTACTATGCGCGTCTTACTGGTCATATTGCCATGATAAAGTTTTTAAAACAACACTATTCAAACCTTAAGTTAACTCAGTTTCTGATCTTGTCTGCCTTTTCTATGAATCTATGCAGAAAGGCACAGAAACAAATTTTGATTTGGAACAGTTCTTCCACGTTGGCCTAACAGCTTTAACTGACATGAACTTGACTTGAATCATCTTGTTGGTCATAACAATTAGAAATTATAACACTTTGCTTACCTCAGTAAAGTGGACTGAACATGACAGTCTCAGCTTTGGCAGTCGAGTGAAGATGACACGAGGTATACAACTCCGTCAAAGATCGTCAAATAAAGATGGTTACTCAATTTACTTCTAAGAGCATCAAAAGATTACGAAAACTAAGCTAAACTAGTCCTTAATATCCTTAAATTTGATTAAAAAGAGAACCAATTACTTTTCATATGTAAATTGCCTCATTACCAGGAGCCAACGATCGATAAACCATAAAGCCCATGGGACTTGCTCCTAAGTAAGTKTCTTTCATCTAATTCATGTAGTTCCATCACAACAATTTACCACACAACGACARAACAAAACAACATCCTTGAAAACAATGAAATGTGAGCTCGTCAGTTGGTCTTCTTGGCAGTGAAAAAGCAATCGAGAGAAAAGAGTGGGCTTATAGAATCATTAGGAAGGCATTATAATTTTCTCTTAACAGATAATCTGACGTTCAGACACTCAAAATCGATTTGACGAAAGCACTTAAGTAAATATTTGAATTCTACATGGCAACGACAACAACGACAAAGTCAACAAACTGGCTACATTGAACAACTCGAGTTGTTCTCACAATCTAAAAATGCTAGTATTTTCAGTTTTAATTTCATAGTAACATTGTATGTGTGGCAAAATTAAACGATACCAATTTTAYGTTTGTATTTCAGTTAGTTTTTAGTGATTTTTTTCAAATATWCTAAATTGAGCAAACTTTTTACGAGGTGGCAAATTAGCAGTGTTGATTGGGTGTTTTATTTAATCAGCTAAATTTAATTCTGTTTTCAAAAGCAAGCACGACTCGGGTTACATTGAAAGATGTAGTTGAAAAGGAATCAAAACTTAATCCGCCTTTTACATCACGTATCCTCAATGTAGCTGGAGTATTTATAGTTTCTCGTCGCTATTTTTAATCATTTTAGCCACCCAGGTTAAACAAAGCGTGCGCTGCATAAACGTGAATGCAATGTATTGCGCTTGATAGTCGCACGTTTAGCCGCTGTATACAACATAGCGCGGCGCTACATGTAATCTGTTGTAGGACAGGTTGGTCACCCGAAAGCGACCAACAACACCTGACTCATTTCAAAATCGCTTCTCTAGCTTAATTTTCAGTATCTTAATAATTGTTTAAATCGCCAAATATCCGCAAATATTGTAGCCTGCGTACACCCGATTTATCTTGTAAAATAACGGTGTTTACGAGTAAACGCTGCACGAAGCTCAGGCTTCATGGAAACCTCAGTCCCAGGCCTCGGGGTTGAACAGTTAAGTTAGTGTGTTTTTATAAGCTAGAGGATTCATATGGTATGTCACATGTGGATCAAACTGCAAGGAGTATTTGAGATTGCCTTTTTAAATTCATGTTAAATATATTCATTGAACGCATAAWAACTAGAAGTCGGACACCTTAATGCATTATTAGCAATTACTATAAAGATTCCCGTCCGGGTACCTCGGATTTTAGATTTTAGTAAAATCTTTTTCCTAAAAAGCCAGCTCAATTTTTGTGGTGGAGCTTAAGTTAGTACATAAATGAAATCGTCAAAAGACAATTAAGTAAAAATGTACTTTATTAAATATACGTCATAATAAAARTATACTATTGGCAATTTAGGGGACTGCGCAATATTTATCAGGAGGGGGAGTCTGAGAAATGAGCTAAAAAATGAAAAACGTTAATTACTACCTCCCTTGCAAACGAAATAAATTAGGCTCTCCCCCCTCCCGTGAATTTATTCATTTATTATGCATAAATAAAGATTTGCCGCAAATCGTGGCACACTTTTCTTAACAAGTTTTCGAATCTGACACCGTTGATTTTCCAATCAAAGTCCTAGTTAATTTTAGACGTTGCCTCCTTTCTTTAAGCACATAAAATCATACGTCCCCCCCCCCCCTCCTGACTCCTGATAAATATTGCACAGTCCATTGTCTTAGGTACTGTTAAAAATAAAGTCTGCCTTTCAATATAGTTATGTCAGKACCGCCTCCCTTGTATCTGTGTTCGTAATCCTAAGATATCGACAGTTTTTTAAAGATTCCCAGTCTTCTGGAGATCTTAATTCTTCCTCTTTTCGAACAAATATTTTGTCTCTTTCCTTTCTTGATCTTTTTCTTTTAGTTAAATGGTTTTTAATACGTATAACCCGACAAACGACCGACAAGTTTACACTAGCTTCGGTTTTCTTCGGCTTTGCATCGGTATGTTTCTGTGTTACACGAGGAAGTGTCAAACCAGTTTCCCKTTTTGATTTTTCTGCACATTTTTTAGTTTTGGATTCACAGKTTTTTTCKGAAGTGCTCGCGCGTACGTCGGGAAGACTCGAAGATTTRRCGAGTGATYTTGGTGTTCGCTTCTTTGTTGGATGCTTCTTCGKACCGCGATTCTTTTTAGACTTTTTTAGTTTCTTTGTAAGTTTACAATCTTTGTTGMTTAAATCACTTGTCTCTGCGAAGTCTTCGGCATTGAGCTTGCTCGGACAGATGATTTCCGGAAGACTCAATGATATTCGTGAAGTCCGAAGTCGTTCGATTTGTCGTCGGTTTTCGATCGTATCCTTTCGCACAACCGGAGAACTTTCCCCAAAAAGAAAACTTTCTGTCACTTTTTCGTCTGTATTTTCCGAAGAAAAGAAATTGTCTTGCTTGACTTGTCTTTCCTTTATATCTAATTTTTCTTTAGTCGAAATTTCTAGTGATTTTATCTTTACAATTTCTTCACTCCTGTTGACGGATTCTTTCGAAAATTTTCTTGACTTCTCGACTTCCAAATTTTCTGTAATTTTGCTTTTTGTAGAAACGTCATTTTCTTTTGGCTTYTCCTTTATTTGCCGATTAATTTTACCACAAGCACTAGAACTTCTCCTACTTTGAGTTTTCTTGACTTCTGCCTTGGATATTTTGTTAATTGAGGTCGAGTCGTGGGACATTTTTCTCTCCTTCACGATTCGATTTTCCATTGCGCGAGGTAGTTCGCTGCGTTTACTTTCTCTTTGACTTGTACAAGTTTGAAAAGATTTCCCGAGGATTTTTTCTTGTCGAGAGACGAACTTCTTTCGTTGGAAGAGCAAAAATGACTTCTCTCGTCTTCTCTGTTGGTCAAGTGTGTTCTTGTACCTTTCAAGYTCTTCTTTATGGCTTGCATTTCTGGCACTAATGGCCATTTGMCCTCTTTCTATACGGTCCCTTGCTATGGGAGAGGAACGGAATAAATCCTCCATCACAAATAATTCGGAAAAACTTTGCTTTGCTGCTTGAAAGAGAACTAAAACACTCTTAACTGAATTTCGTCATCAATAAACTGTATTTATTGCATTCCTAACACAGCGTTAACATTAAAGTCCTAATGATGTGAAAATTATGTACGAGAATATCATTTTGGGAGAATTTGCAAGAAACTTTAAATCTCGTTGTGATTGAAGCTTGAATTCTCCTAAGGTTCGGGACGGTTTGGCACTTGCTTTTTCAACGACCGCAGAGTACAAATAGATTGAACTGTAATCTATATTTGTGTGTTCATACAAAGGATAGGTGGTAAAACAGTTTCTATTCTTGTGCGTTTCAAAGAGAAAACAGAGGTAGCTTCCTGCTTATGACGCAACTCTAACGGAGGCGGAGATTCTTAATCAAATTCAAAAGACTGTAGATCCGGTTTATTGTTTCAGAGGATGAAAACCAATATTTTTATAGAATGGGTCTACCTTCTAATGACGTCATACTAGTTTTAATAGCGAAATGCATTATGGTATTGATGAAAGTTTGATGGAGGATGTTCTGTGAAAGCTACGTATCGTAGAATGAAGAACTGAACTGGCCTACTTTTGAAGAGTATTGCAGCAGTTTTGGTCGTCATTTCTCAATTAATAACCCCCCAAGAGCAGCTTTCCTTATAGCGCGAGACTTATCATAGTAACTGTTAACTATTAAAGTTGCAAAACAAATAGCTGATACAGTTTCAAATGTAAAACGGCCACGTTTCCTTCAACTTCTTTTATAGCTCAGTGTCACAACAACATAAAGAGCAAATCATTGGATCCCATTTTGATGAAAGTATTCGAGGTGTATTTGCAACTGTTTCGAATTATTTTCAACTTTTTTCACTAAAGAACTTACTTTAAATTTTGGAGTATACTTATTTCATCGAAATAGACGATTTTCAGGTTGTACAGACCTGATGCTGAAAGGAATTTTGTCGTGCATTAACTGGGTGTCAAAARTGCTAGTTCTGAATACGATATAACTTTTTGGGGAAGCGCCTGTGATACTATCAAGACTGAAAACTGAACCTACATTAAAATCAAAATAAGAGATTTCTGAATCTATAGCAAGAATGGGAATAGAATTATAATAGTCTCCTTCACGGTTACCTACGCCATCTTGAAAGGTAGCCATGCCTTCAATGAAAGCGAGACAATTGTTGAGCATGCAATGATAGAAACCTTCTTTCACACCTATTAAGTTGGGACACTTTGTTTTTCAAAGATATTTACGCAATACTACAATAGTAGAGGAAGTRGAAGAAGCATTGTGATATGATATTAAAAGAACACAGCGAGATGTTATTTATATTACAAGAAAAAAAAGAATTTTTTGTTCAATAGTAGTACTGGAAGTATCCCTGGGAACCATACTCTGTTGCAGGCTTTTTACGCTCATAACGTGATCTGTCATCATATCGGTCATGTGATCGGCTGCCATACCTGTCACCATGACGATCACCATAGCGACCACCTTGTCTATGAACAAAAATATCAGTTCTCAGTACAGAATAGCAAATGGCCAATTATCATTTTTGTCTCCTTGTTAAAACAGCTAAAAGGTATCTCTTTCTTCATAAACACCTAATTGAAGAAACGTTGTTGGGTCCAAAAAGGTCAAATCAAAGAAGCTAAGACTGAAAGGGTACTTGGGATGACAACCAAGACTGCCTAATTTCATAACAAACAGCTCTCCAGCATAAAATACTAACATGCTGTTAATTTTACTACTGTAGCTCTACTTGCTTAGTGTACACCATATTATGCAAATGTAATCCCAATTTAGTGGTACTCAAAATCCCTTTCGGTCTTAGCTTCTATGATGTGACCTTTTCGAACGTAGCTACGTTTTTTCAATTAGGTGTATTTAAGGAGTGTTTAGACTTTCATGTGAACAGCCACAAAATACCTGTTTCCAGTTTACAAAAAGGTCATTCCTTTGTTGAAGGAGTCTTACATCCTTAGCTGTTTTTTAAGGCATCAAACATTATTGAGTTTGACATAAAATTATCGAACTATCAAAAGCAAAGGACAAGTAACCGAAACACTATTAAGGCTTATTTTAAGGTAAAAAGGTTATGCTATCACAKCCAACTGCTTTTTCAAAACACAGATGTAGCTCACACTTTTTTATATTTTCATTATTCATTTATCAGTACTATTGGAAGTTRTAAAAAATCATTATTAATTTTCAAAGAAAATTGTAAAGTTCAATGATTGACTTGATAATCAGACTGCAATCTTGAATTTTAACCTTTTCATTGAAAATTCAGAAAAAAGATCTCTCACAAGTGAGCGTAGAAAATAGTGAGAATTTTTCAACACAAGAAGATAAAATTCGTATCTCCAATCGACCATGTAATATTCTGTTTATATTGWATGCCCACTGTAATATTCACCTGTCGTTTCTCTGGTATGGATGGTATCGGTCTGCATGTCGTCCTTGGCTGTAGCGGTCTCTCCTATCATCTCTTCCTTGATACCCTCGACTTAAGAGATCAGAAAACAAATAAATACAGTGCCTCATTAATCAGAGAATAGCCTCATTCATGTGTTCTTTCACCATCTTGAAAGTTAGCCATTCCTTTACATTGAGAAGACGACCATTGAGCGTTCAAAGATAGAAAGCTGTGAATTATTATCTCTCGATATGAATTGAGGTTCCTATCATTGCATGCTCAATGGCAATGGTCRTCTCGCATCGATGCAAAGAGCATTCAAGATGGCGCAGGGAATCGCGAAGGAGACTAATGTGGAGTTCTTGAATGTAAGTAAGCTTTTAAGTATTAAAATACTGTTTTATGTTTAAATAGGAAATAATGAGTGCATATTTTTCAGATTCATCCGTCACCGCTTTTTATATGAAGGAAAGGGAATACA